AGTCACGCCATTCCCGATTTCCCCTTTCCGATTCTTATCTCCGCCGCACTGAAGCCTCCGCCGTACGGTTCTTCTCCTCCCGTAATTCCCAGTCCGGCAAGGTAGTCGGTGCTTCTAATCGCGGCGATGAGCAGTTCACTGAAGAGTCCGGTGCCAACAACGGCGGTTTGGTGGGTTTCGGTGATGATAACAACGGCGATTCTCGTATTGTGCCGTATGAGCTTCACAAGGAGGCTACCGAGTCGTACTTGTCGTACGCTCTCTCTGTTTTGCTTGGACGCGCTTTGCCTGATGTTAGGGATGGTCTGAAGCCAGTACATCGGAGAATTCTGTTGAGTGCTCCGTTTGGCTAGAAATTTAAGTTTATTCTGTAAATTCTTCGTTCTGAATTTCCATTGTTTCTTCCAGCTTTGCCATGTTTGAATTGGGGATGTCATCTAAAAAGCCATACAAGAAATCTGCAAGAGTTGTTGGAGAGGTTAAGTCATTTGTTCCCAATGGTCTCTCTCCTTGAAATGTCTTAAATTTCTTAGTCTGAGAAACGATTGTGCTGCTTCAATTTCAGGTTCTTGGTAAATTTCATCCTCATGGAGATACAGCTGTTTATGATGCACTGGTTAGGATGGCTCAGGTAAATAAAGAACTATGAATGTCTGAATCCATGGATTGTAGTCCAGTTTTTTCCAATAATGTGTCTCTTATAGGTAACTATTGTTGTTAATACATTCGTTTTTGCATCTCTCTCTCTCTGCAGAATTTCTCTTTGAGGTGCCCACTTATCCAAGGACATGGAAATTTTGGCTCCATAGATGCAGATCCTGCTGCTGCTATGCGTTACACTGAATGCAGACTTGATGTGAGTGTCTCTCGAGTTGCTTTTCTTTTACCAATCCTTTTGTTTCAGTTGGTTGAATTTTCCTTGTCTACAATTTCTGTAGTGTTTCTCTCCCTCTCCTCTTTTTTCACTTATTTTGAACTGGATATGTAATTGATCTTTGGTTTAGTGCTCTCAGCTGATACTCTTATCTCTCTCTACAGCCACTGGCAGAGGCAGTATTACTAGCTGATCTTGACCTAGATACGGTAACCACACCGCTGCACATATTACCAAGTTAACTTATGTTCCACTATATTGTCTCTTAGGCTCTTTTGTTTTTAACTTTCTGCAGGTTGATTTTGTGGCAAACTTTGATAACTCACAAAAAGAACCATCAGTCTTGCCTGCTCGTCTCCCTGCTTTGTTGTTGAATGGAGCTTCTGGGATTGCGGTAGAATCTGAATTTTCTTACTTATTTTACTCTATGTTTCTTCAATTAATCTCGTGAATAGTTTTCTGTATGGGACTAGATATGCAATTGAATTTTGACCTATTCATAATGTTTAGGTTGGCATGGCAACAAATATCCCTCCTCATAATCTTGGGGAGTTAGTAGATGTGCTTTGCGCATTAATCCATAATCCAGAAGCAACGGTATGAAAGCTCCCTATTCAACCCTTTGCTTTACTTTGATTGTCAATATTGTGGGGTTCCTTTGCTTACATGAAAACATCTATCCTCTATAAGTAATGCTTCCAATTTCTCTTACTTGTCAGCTGCTAGAACTTCTTGAGTACATGCCTGCACCTGACTTTCCAACTGGAGGAATAATAATGGGAAACCTTGGGTAATTCTTTGCATTCCTTTATCAAAAAGAATTTTTTTGCATGCATTCCTTTATAGTTCTCTAATGCGTGGATGCACTTTCAAGGGTTTTAGATGCTTACCGAACTGGACGCGGGCGAGTTATAGTAAGAGGAAAAACTGAAGTTGAATTGCTGGATCCAAAGACAAAGCGCAGCGCAGTTATCATCACAGAGGTGATCATCTTATTTTTTTTCAGATTAATCTACTGATCCCCAAGGAGGAGGCTTTCCAAAAGGTTTATTAGCTGTATCGTAATGGTAAAAAGCAGGTTGAATAACCTCTTCTGTGAAATTTAATGCAGATTCCTTTCCAGACGAACAAAGCGACGCTCGTTCAGAAGATTGCTGAACTTGTTGAAAATAAGGTACTCAATGATCTCTGGTCGAAAATGTCTGTAAATGCTGGGTATGTTTAATGAGACATGTTATGAATGAAGAGGATGGCCAACTAAACTCGCAAGATCTAATGTTTTTTTTTTTTTGCTTTACTTACCAATATGTATGTATTGTATTCACAGGCGTAATACAGTTCTAGTAGCCCCTCTGGTTCATTTTAATGATTAATAAAGCTGATATTCATCTATCAGTCAAAGATAATTAGGTCGATGCCTGTAAAGTTTCTCTTTCATTCATTGTGTTAGGTGTTTGTTAATTTCAGACTCTAGAGGGCATAAGTGACATACGCGACGAGAGTGATCGTAATGGGATGCGTGTTGTTATTGAGGTATTACACTTTTTTTTCTGCACTGAGGTTGTCAGTCTGTTTTAAAATTTCATATTGGAAGGTAATGGTTTTTGAGATAATTTTAAAATATTTGTCTATAGATCAAACGAGGAGGGGATGCTGCACTTGTGCTAAATAATCTTTACCGGCATACTGCCCTCCAGTCAAGCTTCAGCTGCAACATGGTGGGGTAAGTGCTTCGAAGAACCATTTTGTTTAACTCAAGACCCCATAATTTTGGAAGAAACAGAAAGTAAAAGGATCCACATTTGTTATCCAGAGCTCTTGCAGTTTCTGGATAAAGTTAACTACAAAGTCATTCAGCCTGGGCACATTTTTGGAATACTACCAAATATCTCTTATAGAAAACCATAAGGATTGTTGCCAAGTATAGTTCTAGATCTAGTTACCTCTCATCCTTCTGTAATAAAACTAAGAGTTGAGATAGTGATGTAAGATGTGGGCTTGATTTGGGTTAAGTTTAATGTATCAACCAACAGTTTCTTAATTTTCAGTAGTGAACTTAAGAATTGGGAGACACATGGGTGAGTCATGAAGATATGGGAATATGATTGGGGTTCAGAGGAATGCATCAAACAATACTTTGCACCTCTTTTATGCTGTCTATACTGCATAGAGATTCTTGTATTTCTTGATAAATAGGCATATCTAAAATAAATTTGGGACTTGCACAGGTTGACTCAAATTATTTAACGAGTATGGAAAGCTGGTAGATATTTTAGCGATCATCGTTTCAAGTATGTTGTTTTTCTTGATTGTAACTGGCTTTTAATTATGTGTGTTTGCAGTATCAGTAACGGAGAACCCAAGCTAATGGGTCTAAAAGAATTACTTCAGGTAACTACTTGCCTATGTAAATCATTTCTTTCCAAGTTACCTGATCTATTAAAAAAGTATACTGAAAAAATGAAAATTAAAACTTTTTAAGAAATTTATTTTTATGGGAGAACCTTGCGTCCAAGAACATAGATCATAAGGAGTTATAGAAAAGTGAAAATCAGTGATAGTATGCTTACTTCTGTGCTACTACTATCGCACTGGAATGACTGTTTACTCTCTGTTTCTTGCTTGTGTGTAGGAATTTATAGATTTCAGATGTTCTGTTGTGGAAAGGCGTGCAAGGTTCAAGCTTTCACATGCACAACAAAGAAAGCATATTATTGAGGTGTGTTTTCAAATGTTTCATTTTCTTAAATTATGGTATGGATCTTAATTATATGCACTCACAAAGTTTCATATCTGATTTTGACGCATGAAAACCACAATCTGTGTATGTAAAATTCTATTTACCTAACTTTTCCTTCTAATTGCTTCACTGTAGGGTATTGTGGTTGGACTTGACAATATGGATGATGTAATCCAACTCATCAAAAAAGCCCGAAGTCATTCCTCTGCTTCTGCTGCTTTACAGAGTGGTGAGCTGTAATTTACTTAACAATTTACTATATTGGGTATCTTGAACCACCTGTGTTACACATTATAGGTTGATGTGTAAATTGATGGAAGATCAGGAAACGAAAAAACACTGAGACAAGTAAATTAGAGCCATTTTTATGAATGGACTGATGGATATAGTCTAGGATCCATATTTTCAAAAGAATACATCTTGTGGTAAACTCGGCCATCATTAGATATGAACAAGAGAAAATGTTTCTCGTCTTGTTATTTGGGAGTGTTGGCTGTTTAATCAATTCTCATTTGGTGTTTGCAAAGCTTTCTAAGGGATTTAGGATACAGAAGTCTCTAATGTAAGATGAATATACCAGGGATTAGATTAACATGGTCAAACGTTTTCTTATACAGAATATGGTCTATCTGAGAAACAAGCTGAGGCTATACTGGAGATAAGTCTTCGAAGATTAACTGCTCTTGAGGTGCCTTTTTATTCTCTTCAGCTTTTTCTAAGTTCGCCTTTGAATATAAACTTGTAAGCTTGAAGATGTTTAAACTAGATTTTGCCTTCTCATCTATGCAGCGGAAGAAGTTTACTGATGAGAGTAGTTCACTGACGGAGCAAATCACAAAGTTGGACCAGCTTCTGTCAAGCAGAACAAACATCTTAAAGGTGACTTTGCTTTTACTGGAACAGTGACTGGTGCTTATTGCCTTAAATATGTAAAGTAGCTTACTTTATATACATAATTGTTCTGTTGAAAGAATCTTGTACTATTCTGGGCCAACTTTAGAAAGATTGCTTGCATGATGATTGTGGTGTAGACCAAAATCTAGTTCCTTGCTTCGTTTACTTCATGATCATGTTACTTATTACTTTCTTCCCTTTGCTTTCTTTAGTTAATCGAACAAGAATCGATAGAGCTGAAGGACAGATTCTCAACTCCCAGGCGTTCAGTGTTGGAAGATTCTGACAGTGGTGATCTGGACGACATAGATGTTATTCCAAATGAAGAGATGCTGATGGTATGTTGCATACTTGAACCTAGAAAGTTTCTCAACATTGAAAATCTTTGTTTGTTTTGTGACTTTTGGTTTCTGGATATTTTAGGCAATCAGCGAAAAGGGTTATGTAAAAAGGATGAAGCCAGATACGTTCAATCTTCAGCATCGTGGAACCATTGGTAAATCTGTGGGGAAACTGAGAGTTGATGATACGATGTCTGACTTTCTTGTTTGTCATGCACATGACCATGTCCTCTTCTTCAGGTATATTTAACGGAAATCACCTTTGTTTTTGCCATACATATGGGTCTTCGATTTCCTTCCTTGTTATTAATTGCTGTTCCGTTGTTCGACATTCAGCGACCGGGGTATAGTTTACTCAACCCGTGCGTATAAAATTCCAGAATGCTCCCGCAGTGCAGCTGGCACACCTCTGGTTCAGGTAATTCATGTACCTATATATATGTGCTTTTCTTCTGCTACGTGGAGAAAGTATTACAATTATGTGAAAGGCTAATGCTTTGGTGTATTCATGGGACTTGTGGATGCAGATATTAAACATGTCCGAAGGTGAAAGAGTAACCTCCATTGTTCCTGTTAGCGAGTTTGCTGAAGACCGGTATCTCTTGATGCTTACAGTGAATGGCTGCATCAAGAAAGTATCTTTGAAACTATTCTCAGGAATACGCTCAACTGGAATCATAGCAATTCAACTGGTTTGTCCCTTTTCTTTTTAGTTAAATTTTGGGTTCGCTCTTCTTAAAAAAGATTATTCTAACATAATCTTTTGTCTCCAGAATTCTGGTGATGAACTGAAATGGGTTCGTTGTTGCTCAAGCGATGATCTTGTGGCCATGGCGTCCCAAAACGGAATGGTCGTCCTTAGCACATGTGATGGTGTAAGTTGTTGTTCTTGATTCTTCTTTCAAGTAAACTTTTTGTTAATCAGAGCAAGCTCTAAAGGCTTTTGTTCATCAGGTTCGAACTCTGAGCAGGAACACAAAGGGAGTGACTGCCATGAGACTTAAGGAAGAGGATAAGATGGCAAGCATGGACATCATACCCGCATCTCTGCGGAAGAATATGGAAGAGAAGTCGGAAGATGCTTCAACTGTGTATGTGTTTCTTAAGTTATATCTGCTAATGTTTGGTCTAAAAACTCTCCTTATCAAACTGATTATGTTTTATTGTTCTCTTTGCTTTGTTAAAACAAAACAGAAGCGGGAAACAATCCACTGGTCCATGGCTGTTATTCGTGTGCGAGAATGGCTACGGAAAGCGAGTTCCTCTGAGTAGCTTTCGGCGTTCGCGTTTGAACAGAGTTGGTTTACTTGGATCCAAGGTATAAACTGGATTATTATTATTTCCTGTTAAGTTTGTTTGCTCATTTTTCTTTCATCTCTATTTCACAGATTGTGGAGGATGATCGTTTGGCTGCTGTTTTCGTGGTTGGTTACTCCTTAGCTGGTAAAATATTCTCTTTCACAAATAAAGGTTTGGTTAGATGTTCTGTAATTGCTCTTTTTATAAATCTAACCAATGGGTTTTCTTGCAGAGGATGGTGAAAGCGATGAACAAGTAGTTCTAGTGAGCCAAAGCGGAACTGTGAACCGCATCAAAGTCAGGGATATCTCGATCCAATCTCGCCGTGCACGGTATTGTTTATTCCTTCCCCAACTTGGCAGGCTTTCCATGTGGCAAATTGTATTTACTTATATGTTTTTTCTCATTTGAATTTCTCAGGGGAGTGATTCTCATGCGACTAGATCATGCCGGGAAGATTCAATCCGCGTCTCTAATCTCTGCAGCAGATGAAGAAGAAGAAGGCGAAGGAATTCCGAGTCTTGAAGAAGCCGTTAGCTTGTAGATTTGACCGTCCCAATCCCAACCCGTACAGAGTTTTTCAGTGTCCTATGCGTTGAACACTTCTCTTCCTCATTTTGTTTTCTGATGTTGTTACTACGAGAGGAGAATACCATCATCGAGATCGGTCATTAATTTAACACTACTCTCCTGACATTTTCTTTTGTATGTTCGAAAAGTTTTCATCTCAACAAAAGTTGTTGCTTGAAAAGTTGAAACCAATTATTCTGGAATACCCATTATTGAAACATAAAGTCTAAATTAAACCACAAGTGCCACCTACTTTTATTTTGTTTTTAACCAAATCAATAGAACAATTTTACAAGTGGTACAAAGGCGTAAGCGCCAAATCCCATGATCACAAGAGCAGCAACTCCAACATTCACCAAAGATAGGTCAAATTTCTGACTCTCTTGATCCATTCCTCTTCTTCCTACTTCTGGAGGATCCATGTCGTTCTTCTTCTTACCTTCTTCGACTAGTAATGGATCAGTTTCGGATCCTAAACTCTTTTTAACAATCTTCTCTCTATCTTCACCAAATCGCGTTGATTCTTCCTTCACAGGATCATCTGAATCTACCTTTTCCGGTTTCATGAATTCAGCATTATCCTTCACATCTCCTGTTTCTTTGGCTAAACCGGCTTCTTCTTCCTTCTTTTGCTTGACTCTCTCTTGAGTCTCTTCTTCGCTTACCTTGTCTCCAACCATATTCTCATCTTTTTCTTTGCTTTTCCCGTTACGATTAAAATCATGTGCTAGTCTTTCAACTTTCTCTTTCGTTTTTAGCTCAGTCCGTACCTGGTTCGTCGCAGCAATTTCCTTACCTGTTTTTCTTCCCTCCTTACCAACAGCTGGCTTTGTGTTTTTCTCCTCTTTCTTTTGTCCCAAGCCGATCTTTCCTTCCTCTTTCAGCTTCTGACCTATTTCACCATCTCCCATTCTCTCAACTACTTTTTCTGCTTTAGCATGTACCTTGGGTTCTAAGCCATCATTAGTGATCGGCGTTCTGCTAACCGGTCCAGTCTTATTCTGACCTAGATCACCATCTTTCTTTGTCTCAGTTACTTTATCTTCTTTGGCATGTACCTTAGGTTTCAAGCTACTACCAATTGTTGGTGGTGTACTTCTACCTTCTTGTTCCTTCAACTTCTGTACACTCTTTTGTTGACCTATTTGAGTAGCCTCCTTTCGCCCCAAGCTAGGGCTTGCTTCTCTCTCCTTCATTTTCTGTTCAAACCTCTCTGGAATACCGGTTGGGACCGGTCTTTTACCCTCAACCACAGATTTATACGTTTTGGGTTCTTCTTTGTTCGCCATTGGAGCAACATTCTCTTGACTTGTTCCCACTTGTTTCTCCACATCCAAAGGTTTCTTTCTTCCCAAGCTACTCTCATTTGGACCAGCTCCTCCACTTTCCTCCTGATTTTGGACTGTTTTTTCAGGTTTCTCACCTTCAAGGACCTTTGGAAACTCGATAGTCAAGAGTCCATGTGAGAAGGAAGTGATCAATTTAGTCATATCACACGACTCAGGGACACGGTAAGCTTCATTGAAACGAGCTTTAGTCTGAGTAGAGAGCGGTCGCTGGCCTTGAATCTGGATGATCCGTGTCTTATCATCCTTCGTTATTTCTATTTGATCCCTATAAAACCCTATCCATTCCACAAAACAAACGAGGTTTATGTATATCGAAATTAAAGTCTATCATCAAAATTAAAGATTGATCTCAAGT